GATGATAAGAGATCTTGATGAGTTCCTCGCTCTCCCTTGGGGAAGGACCTCCTTCCAAAGTCTAGCCAATCATTTACTTCAAAAGGATGCAGTCTCACTAGCGCAAGATTCCTTTGCCCTGAAGGGTTATGTTGAAGCCATTCAACTTGTGCTCATCGCCGCTGTTCCAGACTTGAAAGAAGAGGTGACACAGTCTGCCCCTGTGGTTGTTGCTCTTTCCGAAAGCGAGGGTGAGATGGATGCTGAAGAGGAAGCACCGCATGTAGCTGAGGAAGGGGAGGCAGAAGACTTGTCTAAATCCCAAAAATTTGTTGTAAGGTTGCGCAATGCCAGAGAACTGAACACAGAGTGCCAGGTTAGTGTCCCTGTAAAAATTTTGAACGGAAAAGGTATTGATTTCCGGAAAAACATTTGTTACCGTTAATACGCAGAATACCAATGCTTAATTATCGTTTCATATTACTATACATATGCTCACCCATTTGTTAAGCATCTGCAAATAGACTTTGATTTGTAAACATATCGTCTAAATAAGTCATCTAGTTAAAATCCTTACCTGAAAATATAGTAATTACCCGTAAATAATAATTTTACCTGGAACTCAGAAGTTTTCCTAATAAACTCATTATTGCCAGCAAACATTAACGATTAGTTTATTACGTTTGCGTAGGTGGCTGTTAGATCAATACTGAGCGACCCTGACGAGGAGTGGTATCTACAACATGACTTCTCCTGGCCCGACGAGGAAGATGATCCCACCGTTGATAATATGGTGAAGCTCATCAACGAAGGGTTCGAATTTGAAAACAAGATGTTCAAGGGAGGTATAACATCTACAGACCTTCAACAGCTAAGGGGTCATAAACAGAAGGGTAAACAGCCAAAACACAAACAAGTTCCAGCTGATTTTGGTGATCCATCAGAGGTTCCGCAACCGCGCCAAGTTGATGTTGATCCGATTGCCAACCTCGTCTCAGGGAAGATTCAGGAAGAACTGGCCTCAGTTGAGTCTCGCATAGCTACTGCCGTCGACCTACAATTACAGTCCCAAATGAAGGCTATAGAGACAAGACTAACCAAATGTGTTGTAGACAACATCCACGCGATGAAAAGGGGAGTTATAAAGGCTATTATAGATTACCTGAAGAAGACAACATCTTCAACCCCGAGCATTTCAGATGTCCCACAACAACATCACACAAACACAGCAAGCCCTTCTTTGAGTGGTCATGGTGAGGCTCCTGAAAATGTAGTCCCCGAACAGATGGCTGTTCACGACCCTCAACCTCTTGTAAACCAGTCCATCAGGCGTATTTTAGATGACCTACAAGCATCATCACACAATCAAGAGGTTTGCTAATTGTTATCTTCATTTACTTAATTTACTGATACCCCTATGAACATACCAAACATTTTATGATATCAGGTGAATGTAGAAGGGAATGTCTCTCAGCAAGATCACAACACAAAAGCCCCTACAGAGCACGAGAGAACAGAGATTTTGAACACCGAGGTTTTCTGCTAAACCCTCTCATTACCGCTAATATATATTTTTCCCGGAAATTTGATTTTTCGCTGTCTACACAGAATTATATTTTCTTATTATTTTTCCTTACGTAGGATGCTGGTAATAAATCTCCCTCCAACCAAGAAGCCGAATCAACATCGGGCAAGACAATCCCTGCTGTCTCAACAAGTCCATCCATGGTATTACTTATCCGCAAGTTATAAATAACATTTACACCAACCTAAGCTTCTAATCTCAACATTAATACAGGTTGATCCTTCTGAAAATGTCAATAATCAGACACTCAAAGACCCCACTTCTACGGATCCCACTGACGAAGAAGCCATCTCTGATAAGGTTTCCCGGAAAATATTTAGTTATCGTCTACTAAATTTTTTACCCGTAAAGAATAATGTTTACATATAACAATTTTGTTACCCGTCATATGTTACCAGTTTAAACCTCATCTTTCCAGGAATTGGAGGAATGGGCAATGACGCTGGCGACTGCTATGGGAAGAAGTACCTCAGAACAAATACAGGTAATGAATCATGTACTAATATTGATATCCTTCTCTCAAATATAATTGTATATGATCTTACATTGATTTCACATTGTCATAGGGGGAATCATCTCAGATGGATATTGATCCTCCATCTTTTTCTATTGGCCTCACCCAATTAGAGGAATCAGATCGTGTTCTTCAGCCTGCTCCACTTACTGTTGTGCTACCTCCCACTGGGCAATCATCTGGCACAGTGGACACACAAAGAGCCCAAAGACAAACAATCCCCCCAACAGCGTTACAAGACTATGAGCTAGACCCCAAGAGTAAGCCTGGATTCCGCGTCCTTCCAGACCTACACAAATTGTTCGACAAGATGAGGCAGCTTATTTCACCCACTGGGTTAGTGTAGTTTTAATATTCACTGGAAATATTAATATTACCTGTCATCATTTTATTTAGCCGAAAATAAATTGTTTTCCCATGTTTAATTTTGCATCTAGGTTCATTCACTTGGATGGTCCATCAGCTATCACTGGTGCAGAGTTTCTTGACATTGCTTTTAGGAAAACTAGAATGTCTCAACTGGTAACACACAAATCTTAAACTTCCATCTACATATTAAATTATACTCATGTATACCAACATTATATTTCCGCAGACAGTGAACACTGTAATGCGCTTCCTGGCTGCTGAGCACGAAATTCCAGGCAAGTCTATCAAAGTCTTCGACATGAGCCTCCCTACTGCTATTAAAAACATCTACCCAAGGTTCGTCAAGATGGGTGTGCAGTTGCGACCGAAATTTAAGTTCACAGATGATGTGATTCAGCGTGTCAGAGAAAACCGGGTAGACTATATCTACTTCCCTCTGTATGTTCAGCCGTTTCACTGGATGGCGGTTGTTGTTGACATAAAAGCGTGGGATATACAAGTTCTTGATTGCAACGTGACCTTGAAGACAGAGGCTATGATCAAGAAGGAGGTCAATCCAATTGCCAACATGCTTCCCTATATTATCAAAGCATGGGATCCTGAATCTAGCGCTGATAACATCAAGCCATTCACCGTCAGTAGGCCTAAGGTACTTCCACAGGTATTTAATTTCAAACTCTTTTCCAAAAATTATTCATTTTACTGTAAACCTTTTTTTTCCCCGTTAAGAAAACTAATTCCTGTAATCATTCTATATTCTGAGTGATTTACAGTCACCCTCGCTAACGGATGATGGGGTCCTCACTTGTCTTTACGTTGATGCACACTGCCAGAAGGGATTGGAAGCTTGCAAATTCCTAACCCAGCAGGTGCTCCCTGATGCGGCAAAGCAGCTATGTCTGAAGTTTTACCGTTACATTACCCTAAACAATCCTCTTAATCATCGCCACCAACAGTCCTAATAGTCTTCTCGAATTCTGCATGACTACTATCTTTTTTTAAAATATGTTGTTCAACATTTCCATGGGCATTGTAGACCTTCATACTTATTATGTTTTATTTGGATTTGTTTAATCTTATTCCTTATTTACCACTCAAATAGTTCGTACACCACAGAATTTAACCGTAAATAATAAGATTTTCCTTAACACATATACTTTCAGGGAAACATAATTTTTTCAGAGATATAGCTAATCAATCCTTGGTGTTCCACTCCACTAGCTCAATATATAATGACTTCTCGTTTACTAACTCCACTAATTTGGGTCTTCATTTTCACAAGTCAGATAATATAATCTCTTCGTTTTCCGCAAAACATTACGATATTAGCGTCTAAAGATCATTTTACCGGTTACCCA